CGATGATGATGATGATGATGATGATGATGATGATGATGATGATGATGATGATGATGATGATGATGATGATGATGATGATATCTTTTAAATGTACCTGACAAAGCATTAAGTCGAGAAAACGTTGAACGTATAATTTCTTTGAAATTTTACACAGGTTCCACTATTCTTTAAAATCTTCTTGCAGTCCGCAATGATGATGATGATGATGATGATGATGATGATGATGATGATGATGATGATGATGATGATGATGATGATGATGATGATGATGATGATGAGGAGAAATCCATGTCTTAATGTTGACCGTCCATGTTACTCTTTGCCTACCCCTGGCTCTTCTGCCCTACACCCTTCCTTCAAGCACATCTTTTACAATGGTGTTATGTCAGTTTAAGTGACCAAATAATTGTATTTTTCTACATTTCATTTTGTTAAGCAGGGTTTGTCTTTGTGTGCAGAATCTGACACATCTCATTGTTATTCGTTTTTTCTTTTTTGTTTATTTGTTTTGTTTATGGTTTTTTGTGGGGGTTTTTTTTTTTGCTTTCTGGTGGGTGGTTGGTGGGTGCCCTAGTGTGGTTTACTCCTTCTTTCCTATTAAACATCTATCGTCCTTGTCTCCTTCTTTTTTTGTGTATGTTACTCTTTTGTAACACATATATTCTTCGGCACTTATATGATCTTATTGTGTTGCAAGTGCCGTAAAACTTTTACTAAAACTAAAGCTAACTTTGAAAGCGCTACCTAAGTCTATTTCTCCAAGGTAAAATCTCAGATATCCAACACAGCAACTTCTTGCCGTCCGACCAGGTAGCGACGTGAATCTCTGACGGTGCAACACGTGTTGCCAGAAGTCTTAGGCCAGGCTTGGACGACTCCCGCGGGCTGTGTAGCTTGTTATCGATCCACTCTCTTCCTCCAAACCACCCCCCTCCCCTCAAACACACACAGGCACACCCCTAATCTTCTTTTAACTCCACTCGAATCCGCAAATCAAAACCAAAGAAAAGAAAAAGAAAAAGAAAAATCAATCGTCACTTTAAGGTTTTACAAAGAGTATCACTTTTCCATTTTCAGTATAAGTTTAGGTCAGTCGTTG